GCTGTGTGGTACTTGAAAGGGTATAAAAACTGAACATGTTATTATATTGAAAGAAATATTGACAAACAAGACAACATTTTCTGAAAGCACACATCAATCTTCTTTTTTTGTTACAAAATTAGTAGAACAAAACATGGGCATCCTGATAAAATCCCACACAAAATCATGCGGAACTGTGAAAGGATAACATTTCATTTAACGTAACAACACGTAGGTGATTTGTCATTGTGTCCATACTGACAAAACTTACCACTGCAGAAATAATAACATGAGGAAGATTTATTTCCTTCAACATTTATTAGCAGTCAAATTTCGGTAACGTTGCTTTTGAAACAGTTTAAATTCTAAAGCTCCTGTCTGTGCAGAGACTGAAGAAGTCTCGACAGTTTTTACAATGATGTTTTGGGGTCTTGATATTTTTCCATGGAAGTCTCAAAGAAAAACAGAGTCCTGAAAGTCATTTCGGCAAAATCCCTGGATTTTTCTTCGTGATCTGTTAGCCTGAGAGATTTGATGTGAGGAAAACACCAGGCAATTAAAAAAAAATTAAAACTGGCGCAATTCGGTGATAAATTGGTTCGCCCTAGTGTTTAACGTTACCAGTCAAGCATGACACAAGGTGTGCTGACTATATGTCAACTGGTCAAGAGGTTTTAGATGCAAAATTGCATTGTTTTGGTTTTTCTTAAAATTCCATGACGGATATAAGGTTTTACTAGCAGTAAAAAAGAAAAAGCCAAAAAACAAGAGTTCTGAAAAGAAATGACCCACTCAGGAAGAAGATGTAAGTCTAAATGCTAATGCACTCTTTTTCATTTTTCACATTGATTTATAAATATAATATCTTGTTGTTTTATTACTGGAACTGGTTTAAGTATGATGTAATCACCAACAGTATGTATTAAAAAGAGTTGCTTGCATTGTGTAGCTTACAAGTCTTGCTGGTAATTCTGCTGTTATTGGACCAAGCCAACATCAACGCTTGGCTAGTAAAATTTTTTTTTGGCTAGTAACATCTAAGTTGTCACTAGCCACTAGGCAAAGAATACATTACTCGCTTATTTTCGTGATTCAGGAAAATGAAATTTTTATATCTGTGATCTGTGATTCGCTGTTTTTTCGGTTTGTAAACAGTGGCCAGGACCCCCTGTACTGTACGACCCCCTTGAAATAGACCTTTTCATGGTTTCTGACGCCATCTTGCTTAAGGGGCACACACAGTAAAAATTGCTGTGAATGAATGGGAAAAGTCAAAAGTTCAATTCCCAATAAATTGAGAGTGACTGACGCTCTGAGTATTTTATGAGTTACAAGGAAAAGATACCCCAACGGCAGGTTTGTTTGGTCAAATTTGAAGAATATAGATTTACTGTTAGGCAATGAATTGTACTTTTAATTTCACTCTTAATTTTCCCATGAATTGCAACTCGGTTTTACAAACTAATGTATGGAATGTATGGCCAAGCGAGGCCATTTCTCTAAAATGTGATCTGTAAATTCTTTTATGTAAGTATCTTTAGTTTTTAATTCATAAATACTTCAGAACTCAAATTTCCATGAGTTGTTAGACATTAGATTCTCCATCTTCCCCATACATTTACAGTAATTTTTGTCGTGTTTGCCCCCCAAGCAAGATGGCATCAGAAACCATGAAAAGGTCTATTGCTCTTGCTATGGCTTGAATAACTCTTACCCTTTCCTAGATCTTGTGCTCTCCAAACTGCAGCATGCATCCATATCTCAGTAAACCCACTCTGACCAATGAACCAGTAACTCATCAAAATATAAGCCCATACATGAACATATTGTGTGGTCCCAGAAAATATCCATACCAAGCCTGTAGATGGTCACTGGAAATGCAGAGGATACGCTTCTAAGCATGAAACAAATCTAAAATACCGTAAACTTACGAAAGTAACGACCGTCGTTACTTTTGGAATTAGCAGCCTTTAGGGCTCATTACCTTAGGAGGGTCGTTACTATTGAGGAGTTGTTACTTTCGGGGAACAAAAAGCGTTATATAATTATAGTTGGTATGACTGAGCTCTTTGAACAAAAAAAAAAAGACGGAAATTCGTAAAAACAGTTCTTTAAACATCAGATTACATTCTTTGTTCCAGTTTAAATCTATGTTGCTGCCATATGGGTTGGCTCTTCCTGCCAAGACCGTGTTCTCAGTGGTCAGCAGGAAAGCTAGTCAGATACCATAAACTATTTCTAATTCATGATGCACTGCTGTGTTAGTCTGCTTAAACAACATCTCAGTACACTGAACGAGTTTTCAATTTAAATTTGAAGAATCGTTCCTTTTAATACGCTCCTGCTGAAAATGAGACAGAGTTTTCAATTTTAATTTTTTCACCAAAAGTTCATATTATTTTGTTCCTGTTATTTGATGAAAATTCTACTGGTTTTGTTTTAAGGACGTTGGTTCGCAAATTTTCCAGTTGATATTTTTTTAATTTTTACTGCAGTCAGATAAGGAGTTACTTGTGTCGGAAAAGCAAAAAATTTGGAGGTCACCAACTTGGTTTCAGAGATAAAGCGTGTGGAAAATTTCCATGATTTTGAAAAATTAGCACAAGTAATTCAGCATGGTCTACGGCTTTATAGTTAAAAATATCAAAGGTGACTCAACGGAGACAAACCATCTTAGCCATATTTTGTAGAAGTGGGTCTGTTGTAAAATTAATTCCAAATGTTGCCAACGTTTTCACAAAACGTAACCCTTCAAGAGGCATTTGAAACTGCCGCACAGATAAACGAAGAGCTAAAAAGAACGGAATTCAATAGTGCATTTTGCAAACAATTCAAACTTCTAATTGATTGATTTTCCTCATTTTTTCGCTAAACATAGAAAATTGGTAGAGAAAATACTCCATCAAAGGAAAAAATAGGGGTCACCGAACTTGTGAATTTGCGTGTGCAGTAAGAAACAATTAACGCGAAGGTCCTTAGTGGGCTCGTTACCTTTGGACGGCTTGCGACTATTTATCTATTTAAGTATTTATCTAATTAAACTGTAAGGTAATCACACCGCAAAACAATTTCCAAGCGCGCTTACCTTCGTCCAGACGTTGTCAACAAACAGGTCTCCACATTCCACCTCTTCGTTCCAACAAGCAAAGAAGTAAACAAAGTTAGCTTATGACCCAGATCAAGTAATATCACTGGCTCAAGCCGTTCTGAAACAAAGAACAAACCTTTGAAACTACGATAAACTCAATTTTCCGCTGTTTTTCTTGCACACGTGCCAAAATGGCGGAGACGAACTACACTCGCAAAGATCACTGGGAAATAATAAGAAAGTAAAGGAGTGGGGGCGGGGCGGGGGAGGGACATGAGAGCAAAACATCGCCCCACGATACACCACAAACACAATTTTTTGGAATTTTTATTTTACTATGGTTACCATTCATTTGCTTACTCCGCAAAACAAGAAGAAACTTCAACAAAAGACGTTTACATCTCATCTTCATCGCTGTTCTTCGTGCTGGTCATTATTAAGCTCTTATTAACCGAGCTTAGTCGGTCTGTATGGGAGAATCTTGACCGAAGTCGTGAGTACAGACCGAACACAGTGAGGTCTTTACACACGACCGAGGTCAAGATTCTCCCATACAGACCGACTAAGCTCGGTTAATAAGGTGTTTATTATATAGCGATGAAACAAGAACAATTTAATTTGTTTAATGTAGCGGGTTTGTAGGGAACTGACATTTTGGTTGCGAACGGCGATGAGTTGAACTTAATTCTGCCAAAATTTGCTCATCCTCTTTACTTTTTTCTTATCAGGCTTTTTGACACTTCGATAAAAAATATTATATTGCTAGAAGAATGTAGTCAATATTTTTGTATTTAAGAACAACTTTTTCAACATTACCGGTCTAGATGCCGGTCTCGGATGGGAAAACCTAGACCGCTTTCAATATCGATTTCAGCCAATCAAAATTGGTGAATTCGGTAGTTCCCAGTCCTTGTGAGATACAGCCATATACACTAATAACAACAAAGCATAACCAAAATTCTGAATAAAATACAAATTCCTGTCCTAAAACTGGCGAACCTGCAATCAGGCGTTCTGCTGTTCGCAGGTTTAAAACTGGCCAGCACTGTCGGCATGGCAGAGTGTATGTTTGTGTGGAGGCTGATTCTTGGAAATCTTTTGAAAACAATTACATGAAAGTACCAGAACCTTGCGCCACATTTGTAGTTCTCCTATTAAACGGCTACGTGCTTGCCATACGTTTACGCAAATGCTTATTCTCCAAGTTTTTTTTGTGATAACACT